ACTGACATATAAATACTGTTTCAACTCAAAAATTTAATAGCAATATAAACAGATGATGTCTGCAACTTATTTTTTTAGTTGATTGAGATTGAGAGCAATTGGGAGCAAAATCCACAAGGATTTGAAAATATTGGCAATCACCTTACACCTTCTTTATAAACTTCTAAAATAAGGAATATGTAATCCTATGCATCACCCATCTCTCAGCCTCCTTCAAATACTCCCAATTTTCATTAACAAACTCAATATTTACAGAACTTTCTCTGACATCCAAGAAATTTGGGTAATCTTTTTGTTCCCATTGAAAGAACCTCACTTTTAAGGCGAAAAGGACATTTATTAAGATATTTGTTAATTTCCATGGACACAATATAATTTGTTAACCTTCTAGACCCATGAAAGTTTGTTCATCTTTGAAGACCCAAAACAACTTGATGCATAAAAAAATCCCATTTCATCTAATTGACAAATACCTGAATTGACAATACTATAATTTAAATCATTGATTCCAAATGAAAGCTAAAAAATCATAATAAACATGTTAATTTTACAACAAGTTCAGGGCAATTAAAAACATCACAAACAATAAGTTCTGCAAACACAGCTAAATAATAACCTTAATTATTGAGGTAGAGAGGAAAACACTACATAATACATTGGCAGCCATATTAGATTTTTTGATCAATTCAAACCAATAATCAGCACAAAAGAGCCTAACTTGCTTTATTTATTAATCAATATGAATCTATTGAAAATATTTCCTTGCCGACTCGATTCACCTCCACAAAAAATTGATTGAGAAAAAAATATGTTTTATTTCAGGTGACTAGACATGATAGATATAGAACTAGCCTTGTCTGATTATACAGGTTTATAGACTCAATTAACTTCACTTCATTAAAATCATTCATTTAGAGCTGAATTTTGTTATTGAAACCAGGTTACTGTTATCCGAATTCAGTATAAATAGGAAGGTTTTTGTTATTGAAACCAGGTTACTGTTATCCGAATTCAGTATCCTGGGAAGGTTTTTGTTATTGAAACCAGGTCTCTGTTATCCGAATTCAGTATCCTGGGAAGGTTTTTGTTATTGAAACCAGGTTACTGTTAATAAATTCAATATGAATAGGAAGGTTTTTGTTACTGAACCAGGTCTCTGTTTTCTGTTTTTTTTTCTGTTATACTAAGAATGAGGTATCAGTTTTTTTTTAGGGCAGGCCCGGGGGTGAAGGTGCCGATAAAAGTAAAAAAGTAAAAAAAAAAATTGAATACACAGAGCAATATCTTTCCACAAATTAAATACCTCCTTTTAATCATCAAAAAATTGCATAAACTTTGCACAATTGCGTTAGTTCATGTATCATTGTCAACCATGCAAAAAATTCTATTGCTAAGAAACAAATAATGATGTGATAATTTTCATCATGTACGTGGACGCTGGCCACAATTCAAGTCGATTTAATCACCTGAGAGCAGTCATATGTTATAATATTATATTATTGAACAGTGTCTAATACAGACAGGTACAGAAATCAATAATGTCTAGCTAGTTCTATTTCTGTATCAAAAGAGTCAGTAACCATCATGTGGTTTTCCTGATCAGAACTTGTTTTAATCCCCTGCCATCATCAGCTGTGGACAACTTTCATTAGACTATTTTTGATGTCAAAATTTCATTGTAAAAGAGATGGTTAAGAGTTTTTCTGAATTTTTATATGTGTCGGGGACATTGATTAAATCAATTTGCACCATTCAAATTTTCAGTCAGTTCCGTGGTTCTTCGTAATGAAGGCTGTCATCATACATTCAGAAAACTTTACAATCCCTTTAAAACATGAAGCTGGAATAATTTTTTGTAACCTTTTAATGGATACTTCAAAAAGTTTCTTGTACTTGTAACTTTCTAATGACAAGTTTTCATATTCAACCATAAATTTCCTTTGGATTTTCAAAGCTTAGTTGTCGCCTGTCAGACAGAAATTACACCAGAATTAGATATTTCTTTTTAGAAATTATTGAAATACAGTCTGAAGTCTGGTCGTACTCATAGTTCATAGCCAAAGAATAACAGAACCATCAGCACTTACTAGATTTTTTCTAGACTTTGTAACGTGTATAAACTGTTAATATCTATGTCGTGGGTGACCGCTTGAAACCTCGTATATTCCATATTTGGTCATTTTGACTTTTTGTACCGTTCGACAGCTTGTAAAAGCGTGGATATTGTGATCAAATCCTCGTAATCTTAGCTTGATTGTAAATAACTCAAAAAGCACTAATTAAATAACACGTATAACAGTCAGGTTTAAAACCTCGTAAAATAAATTATTATACGAGGTTCAATGTTCCTTTTTCTGCGGAAGAAAATGAAAAACCTTGTATACTGTATTATTATACAAGTTTTTGGTTCAATAGGCCGGAGATCTCAAAATGTTATACGAGGTTTATATTTTCAAAGAATGAAAAAGTAATTCCGTGTCATATATCGAGGTTTCAAGCGGTCACCCAAGATATGACCCTTAAAACAGAAATTATTAACTTCCTTTAGAGATATGTTCTAGTTTTATATCTTATTGTCATATGTCATATTTATTTAATATTATGATAGAATCAGACTAAGGTCAGAAAAAAAAATTGAGTGTACAAAAGGGACATTTAAATATAGATATATATAGATCAAAACCTTCAGATTAAATCATCATTAGCATTCATATAATCATGATCTGATTGTCCATTCTTTAACAAAAGGGAAAACAGCAAAAACGTTATGTAGCTGATCTTTTAACAAGAAAAGGTTTCAAAGAAACCATAAACTGTTTAGTGTTTAACCATGTGTGTGAAATCTTGATAACAGATAAAACAGGGAGTGGTTGTTTTCCTTGCACAAACAATAGATATGGGGTCAACCGAAATGTTAGCCTAAATACACTTTGTGTTGCATATTGTGGGGGTGGACTTGACTTATATAATAAATTATGTTTACTTTATCTTTTACTTAACCTTAAATTACAATTTAAACCTTGAATATTACACCTTCAAACTGAGATTTAACTTTGCTGAATTATAAAGTAAAATGAATTAATATAGACTTGATAACTTTCTAAAATTATTCGATATGATATAGGCCCTTTAAGACTAAACAGCAATGGAATTTGTTCTGCCTTACATTCTATACAAGCTTTTCTACATTTTAATAAATGAATTTTGAATGATTCAAAGATTTTATATTGGACAATGTTGTTTCACTCTGTTGTTATGTATAATGCTCTTCATTGATTCTTTCATAAAATTATATTGCCCTGACATCTTGGTTCTAAGACCAGTAGTAGATCTAAAGATACATGTTATGGTTTAACAAGTTTTACAGAAATAATTTCTAACTAGGTGATACTATTGTGTTATTTTGAAGGAATAAAAAAAAAGCTAGAATGAACTGCAAAATATAGACCACTTCTGATATCTAGCTACAGTGGGAAACGCTGATGACCTATGAACTCTATCTCACTGATCATGTTAAGCCAAAATTGATGAGAAAATTTCAGGATATAACCCATTACAAGGTTAAGTATGGGTACAAGAACTATTTTGCTGAAGGGCCTGACGAACATCTAACTTTAAGTATAATTTTTTAAAAAGTTGGCATTTAAATGGTTATTTCATTTGTTGGTTTAAATCTCAGGATTCCAAGTAAGAATTCTGCTTAAGTTGAAAAACAGTTCCTTTTGACAATTACCTCCAACATTCACTTTGTTAGTTATTCAGGATGCACTGATTTAACACAAGGATACAGAAATGCTGAATGGGGATAAACAGCTTAAGCATACCAAGACTCAACTGAACTCAACTGAAAATCAATGTACAAAAAATGCTTTTTCATACTAGAAACTACTTGACCATGCATTTCTTCATTCTTTCCCAAAAAAGGGTAGAGAGCAAAGGCTCATTTGACCCTTTAAATACTTGTAGCCACTCTACCAATCACATAATTAGGTAATATTTATCCAAGATGCCAGTGAAGAAACAGATACTAAGTGAAGTTACAAATATTTTTTTTCAGCAAATCATAATACTTGGAGGTTCAGAATATATGATGTTATATTTCAACAACTTAAGTTCAAAGGGTTAAGAAGGAACTAAACTTAAATATTTTCATAAATATCAATTTCTATCTGGAAATCCCATTATTTTATGTATGTAGTATGTCAAATAAGAGAAATTATGTTCATTATTATAATGCCCTATTTACTGTTTTATAATTGATATTATACTCTAGGCCCACTGTTAGAATGATACAATGAATTAACATGTGGAACAATGTTGCATAGCAATTCACTGTAAAGTTCAATGTAAATAATATGTTCAATCTGCTTCACAAAAAAAAAAAAAATCATTTATGGTAAGTGGAACTTGGCCATGTTCATTTTAATATTTATAATATAATTTGCAGGCAATCTTTGTCATCAAATGTGTGGATATTTTTGATGTTTGGTATGAAATAGATGTACACAATGTTGGCTTGTAATTTGTTTTAAAATGATTTTACGTCTTCCTAAACAAAGGTGTCAAAGAGTAGAAAATATAGGTAGCCTACATAAAAACTACCTGATTTCATTCAAATAAGTAGAAGTGTAGAAAAACAAATAAAAGTTCATAATAAATATGTCCATTAAGTAGGTCAGCTATAATCAACTGACCGTTATGGGAATGTATATTGAAAAGATAACGGTAAATCTTGATTGAAGCAGGCGCTACTGGTTGGCAGTTATCAGTCACACCTGGTCAATTCAATCAAGTTTCACCTCGTATTCCGAGGGGTCAGGAGTCAAATTCGATGACCTATCAAAAGATTATATAGGTGTTTCACCATTAGGCTTGAATTTATACAATTTTTTTATAAATTCTACGCAGTAAAACCGATCGCACTTTTTGACACCTTCGTTTAGAAATTCAACATGGCCGACTTGCCAGGTATGGTAATATACAAATTACAGGTAAAATACTCACTTCAAAAAGTATCTTTGACCCACATGGGTTACTCCTATGCTCCATCCAGGGGGCAAGGGTTCTTCTGCGAGATCATAACTGTGTTGTCTCACATGTTGTGAGCATGGGGGAGGGGGAGCGGTGCTGAGGGTCTGTCCCTGTGATAAACTGGCAGGGGACGATCTCACTCGTGTGTGATTAACAGAAAAGTTCGGTGTACTGGTTGGATTTGAAGAAGAATATCCCGTAGAATCTGTACTGCCTTCCTTACCAGCTTGATGTGGCTCGGGTGGTTGGAAGAATGACGCTGGAAGATTACGCATCCGAAGAGGAATCGACTTATTTGAGTCCGGGGTTGGATTTAAGCCATAACTGAAAAGTGCGTCCATATCACTGTCACTATTTTCACGAACGTGAACTATTTGCGAACCTTTCCGTTCAGAGCGGTCTTGAGACATTTTGACGATTAAAATCCGTTCACAGTTTATCACACAGACCCTTAGGGATCTTTTCCACTATATTTCAGCACACTATATCGAAAATTAATTAAGAAATCCTGAAGTTTCCCTGGCTTCTTCTTGTTATGGGAGGACACCATTAAAGTTTAGCACGAAAATTAGGTTTACCAAGTCCGAATCACTACGCGTTAAACACGAATAACGGTTCACACCAGAAAATAGTCCGCCTAAGTTTACGATATAAAGACAGGTTTATGCGCGTAAATCTAGAGAAAAGTTGATAAATCCTTAATTTGTCAATAGAGAAAACTACAGATTGATTTTCTCAATTCAAAAATTCCATTTAAAAGTTTTAAGATCGACAGTATATCCCTAAGCGGATATGCAGAAGGTCGATGTGACGTCACTTTTCCTCATTTGGGACAGTAATGGCTGCATATGAGAAATAACGGTAAAAGTTTACAGTGCATAAAACGTTCACAAGTGTCTTTGAAACGACTTTTACCAACTTCACAAAATATTTTTTATATAAATTATTTTACCTGTAGGGAAAATATAGTGGTAGGTTGATATATAGATGTTATTGACTGGAATATATTAAAGGGGTGGGGTTTAAGAAAGAAATTGCGAGGTAATTTCCAGAATAAGAAGTACGTCATACCACCCCTTTACCTTATATGGGGCGAACTGCGGTAAAATCAAAAGAAATGGCACGTCAATCAACAATGAATGATTAAAGGTGTTGAATGCAAAATGGGCAGGTATTATGTAATTTCGAAAATCAATGAAGGATATTTTGACAGATATAAATAATCGTTTTAACTTTGGTTTAGGTTAAATTTTCACTCGATGTAGTCACCCCTAGCTGACCTCCTTTTTCTAATAATTGGAGGTTTATTTTGCGTATTTACTGCAGTGACTCATAGCTAACAAGGGGAGGGCTTGTCAATATTGCCAAATAGTGGGTTCCCACCGTGAGACAGACAATCACGATATTTACACGTTTTTAAAAAGTTTTGTGTTTTTCAACTAGCTTTGGACGCTGCGGAACTTTTCTTTTGTTTCAAGTTTTTCAAGCAATCACTTGCGCCTTATTCGAATTTTGGATGAAATGGTTTCGGACCGTATATTGTTGGCGTTTAATTTTTTATACATTTAAATTTAACAGTGCGTATATTGTTTCACCTGCGCAATATCACTCGATTGTACACCATGAATATAATGGAATGAAGTTTTACGCCCCACATTTGTCCTAACTGGATTGATGAGGACGAAAATCATCTTGCAGTCTGCAATGTGGGAAAATGGATAGGGGCAGATCTACTTGCCCGTTTTCGTTTTAAGGGTAGTCCAACTTGTCAATATCAGAATCACTCAAGAATAACTTCGCTGCCACTTTGATGCGATTCTATTGATGGTTCAAATAAATTTAACAGGCTTCATTTTTTTTATCAGAAGCTGCACAAGTCTCCCGAGATTTGGGGTACAATTTGGAGGGAGGGGGCATACTGACTCAGTGGGAGGACAACTGCTGAGGCTGATAATGCGGAGGCGTATTGTGTCTGAGAGAGCTCTCCCAAGAAAATTATGGAAAAGGGAGACATTCTGCAGATATTTTGGGGTAAATTGTGTCAAAATCATACATTTTTAATTTGTTGATATAGAGTGGTAGTTCAACAGTTNGGGTGCAACTAATTTTTCTAGGGGGGGGGGGCCAACACTGTGACGATTTTCGTAGTAACGTTTAACTTTGATTTCAAAGATGATTTCACTCTAAAAAAAACTGTGTTTGGTATGGATTTTATGCGGATTTTTTGGGTCGACATGAATATAAAAGGAAGTTTATTTTCAAGGTGTTATTTTTATTTCACCCATTGACCGAGATTAAAACTCACGGATGCTGTATTATTTCCCAATGCGATCAGACAAATGATGTCATGTGATATGAACACTCTAACTAACCGATCTACAACCCTTCTCGGTGAACAAAATTTGACGGTAGTGGCCATTTGTAATACGAAATGCATGAGCACAATATCTGACATTTTTGGTTGATGTGGTCAAAGACAGGAAAGCTCCAATGCACGCAAAATATTTTTTAGATATCGCGTAACGCCCTGTACCTTGACGGATTGATGGTTAAATATCTTACGTCATATAATAAGTAATTGATTAACGACTAATTATAATTTGTCACATCAATACGGTACAGGTATTCATCATAATAATCTGTAAAAGATGATGAACGAGGAAGTTAAGCAATCATGAAAGAGAAAGCCGACATATACTACTTACTATCTCACTATATACTACTAACTACTATCCGAGAGAAAATATCCATAAACCATAAAGGACACCGTGGCAGCTTAAGAGAACCCTCTCGGGCGCTCAATGATTTTGACGCCTCCATGGTGTTGCTGCATTTTAATTCAGCCTCGACTGTCTGACCCCTATTTGTGGCCCCATTTTAGGGGCAGATGATAATTAATTGGTATTGCATTGTTTATGACAAATGTAGGCAGTGCGTAACCAGGCAAATTTATAGAACAGAATAAAGAAGTCATTTCTTCAACTTTTCCCTTGACAAGGTTTCAAGAATGTTGTGCCGTCTGAACGACTAGATGCTATTCAGTTTTCAAACAAAGCCACATTTAAATATGCCTACTGACTTGGTGATTTGCATTTTATCAATTATTGATATAAGATATTGAAATGGAATACTGGCTTTAAAATTCTACGTTAATTTATCAAGAAACGGTGTCTTCATCATACCGTCTCATAGGGTTATGTGTTGTGATCAACAATAATTGATGAAGATGGCTTGTCAACTTCCGTCAAAACAAACCTCTTTCATCAAACGTCAATCATATAATATAGTGATGTAAATATGGCAAATTAAGACGAGTTATGATGAAAGCTGGTGGCGTCACAGGGTAAGCTCCATTGCGCTAAACTTTCGACACTTTCGAATCAACAACAACAATCATGCGACACATTATGTTTTTATTCGATCAGGCCTTTACCAATGAGTCCAGGAAATCAAGACACACACCCAAGTTTTGCTTTTTTGACACCATATTGTAAGAAATGTAACCTAAAATGGTTATATCATTGAGCGATAAGGTAAATAAGTTTGGCAGAGTTTTTATTTGGGCATAGTTTGAAAATTCCATCTGTTGTATAGAGCAAAATTATAGAATTATTTTGTCCAAAAAACAAAATTTATATCTTGCGACCTCTTTTCAAATTAAAGCCCTCTCCTCCATAGCATCAACTGAAACACATAGGGCTATGGATACAAACTAAAGTAGTTTAGAACAGGTACTTGTTGGGTATCTCTCAGAATATTCAACATTATTTATGCAAAATATGATGGTATTACATTTCTCAACAACCCACGCACAGAGTTGACCAAAATACACACAAGGAGTTTGATTCTCACCTTTTTGCGTCCATTCCCCTCAAGAATACAGACTGTCGATGTAGTAGAAACGCCTCTCTCCCCACCCCACCCCCCTCCCCCCAAAGATTTCTCTTTTCCAAGCCTTAAATCAGTGTCTGTTGGTCTGAAACTAAACACTGCTGTTAGTATCAGGAAATGTCGAATTTAGTGTAAAACATGTTTCATTGCTATGGCATAACTGAACATTTCAGCACACACCTCGTATGGTTCAGATTTCAGTACGCTTGTGCAACGGTTCCGGTTATAGTTGATCGCGTCCACGACATAGCTTATTAGAATATTGTTCCCGACTATGTAGGGAGTTATAAAATCTAAGCGCAAGTGGACAACCGGACCATTGAACATGGTTTGACGAGTTACGTCCCTTAATCTTTTAAAATAGCGACACGCATATCATACTGACATATGATATTATACATCGTGTCCAAATACGACTCCCATTCGTCATACTTCTGTATTATTCACACAAGTCCGTGCTTATCATTTACACATATTCATATAATATGATTTATTACGTCACTGCATGCTTTTTAACTTACGTCATGTCATGTAATCTTTTATGAAAGAAAATACCCAATGGCGGAAAGCTTGTTAGACTTCTTTTATGTATATGAATTTCATCGGGGAATAAGAACCACATTCGATATACGATGGATAAAAAGCATCATATTATCCACAAATAGTTATATTTATACACAAAAAGTTATATTTATCTACAAATAGTTATATTTATCTACAAATAGTAATATTTATACACAAATAGTTATATTTATACACAAATAGTTATATTTATACACAAATAGTTATATTGATACACAAATAGTTATATTTATACACAAATACTTATATTGATACACAAATAGTTATATTTATGCACAAATAGTAATATTTTTACACAAACAGTTATATGTATACACAAACAGTTATATTTATACAAAAATAGTTGTATTTATACACAAATATTATATTTATACACAAATAGTTATATTTATATACAAATATTATATTTATACACAAATAGTTATATTTATACACAAATAGTAATATTTATCTAAAAATAGTTATATTTATCCACAAATAGTAATATTTTTACACAAACAGTTATATGTATACACAAACAGTTATATTTATACACAAACAGTTATATTGATACACAAACAGTTATATTGATACACAAATAGTTATATTGATACACAAATAGTTATCTTCTTACACAAATAGTTATATTTATCAACAAATAGTTATATTTATGCACAAATAGTAATATTTTACACAAACAGTTATATGTATACACAAACAGTTATATTTATACAAAAATAGTTGTATTTATACACAAATAGTTATATTTATACACAAATATTATATTTATACACAAATAGTTATATTTATCTACAAATATTATATTTATACACAAATAGTTATATTTATACAAAAATAATTATATTTATAAACAAATTGTGGATTTACGGCACGATAAATCTTGTTTCCATCGAAACCAGTTTTCATGACGTTAGGAGTCACCATTATAATTAACAGAGAAACGTCACCGCCAATTTCATCTACTATAGTTTCTTCTGGTAGATAGCATCAGTGCACAGACCTTAGTAACAATATCAGATTTTTTTAGTAACATGAACTCTCGATTTGTCCTTTCAGGTGGCGTCAGTGGACCGACCCTAGTAATAATGGCAGATTATTTTGGTTTCAGTAATCTCCTGCTTGGTAGTCTATGTTTTCAGAAAATCCCAGTGATAGGAAACATCAGTAGACAGACCTTTGTAATGGTTTTTCTTCGCAAGATTTGCCAGTTGCATCTCTTTTCCAAAGCACCGACAGAAGGTTTAATTCGTTCGGTCAGCAGTATATCCCCCACTTAAGCAGCTAGTGCTGCTAGTTGTGAGTTAAAGTTAATTTCTACAAATATTCAATTACTTTTTAAAATCTCTTCTACATTCCCAATAATAAATATTTAAACCTTGAGCTTTATTTACCAGATAATTACTTTAAGTATTGCAGTTGTCATCAGTAACCATCTGGAGGTGATTCAGGATTCTTAACGTCAGCGAGTAAGTGAATGATTACTATTAGTTGTGATCAACTGGATGGTCGAGAACCCCAACGACACAGGCGAATTATAATATCCATTTCTTTGGTAGATTCACTAATGGCAGCTTGCGGCAACTGCGTTTTTAAGTCGGTGTGGGTGCGTTGAGGGCGACGAAATCCAGATTCACGAAGCCGACAGTTGTAGTAGTTTACAATCTAGTTGATCTATTACCTGCTCATTGATATAAAGTAGGTCTATTCATTAACTCCTTATGTCCTGATGGATGGAAGATGCTTGCTGACCTACAGGTCGGGAATGTGATCCCATTTGAATCATCAAGGCCAAAAATGTACGACTCTAAGGTTGTCCAGTCCAATAATATTGCCCACCTCCTTTTGCCCATTCAGAAACAAACAAGTTTTGGAAGGATAGCTGGAAAAGAGCCCAAAAAGGCTAAATATTTGAACAACGATGTCCTTCTAATAATATCTTTATTTAAAAAATAATTTCATTTATTTAATTATGTCAGTTTAAAAAAACTTGAAAGAAATTGGTTCAAATGCGTCATTTATTGCAAGAGATATGTTTGAAGTTATTTATTGGTACTTCATACTTCATTAATAATAATCTGAACACTCCTACCACCATCGACAAAGCTAGCTGTACACGTCTTAAGTTGGTTTTCAACTGATATGTCGAAGAAACTGATAAAGTTTTAAAATTTTGTATAATTAGCAAATTTAAGTTTTACAACTATTAACTACATATATCAAATAGAGTAGGGTGGAAGACCAAAATCTTCTAGCTTAAATTCCTCTAGTGAATTCAGGATAACAGTGGCAAACTGTGACGTATCAGTTCGGTCTGCGCGAGGATCTGGAACCCAAACAACTTGCATTCCTGCTGCATGTGCAGCCAGTACACCATTACGTGCATCTTCGAATACCAATACCTTGAAACGAAAAATGTAAGTTTTATCATGTACGTAAACCATTTTTTGTAGACGTGTATCTTGTAAGTTTACACTGTCGTCATTTCCCAAGGAACTTTTCTAAACTGGCGAAGTACGTTATTATTCAATTGTAAAGGAATCATATGCGAGATTTTATTTCTGAAAAATGACCCGACTTCAATTGACGTCACAGCCCCCCGAAAGCAAGTTTTTCGGGCAAGAATCTCATAACTAGGTTAGATATTCGGGCAATCCCAGATATATCAACCCTTCTCGGACGTAAACCTGGCTCCGCCACTGTCACTCACTGGTTCTAATTTAAGACTTTCGCTGAATAAAGGGTTGTGACATTTACAAATATTAGTACAGTATTAGTATCTGAATTAATTTTACATTTCACCCACTTCACTGTCAATCATGTCTCTGAAATTAAGATTTGCGTAAGGGCACCTTTGTAGTTGAAACAAAAAATGAAGAAGGCAGAAGGATGTGTTCAATAAACTACTTTATACCTTTTCTGACGGAGGATCGTCTGGGAATCTTTTCTTACAAACCAAAAAACAATCTGGCGATGGCTTGCCATTTTTGACTTCCGGGTCATCTCCACTCTTCACGACATGATGAAAGAGATTAAAAACGTCCTTATGGTTACGAGTTTTCAACTCAAAACCAAAAGTGTTTGACCCCGTTGCTATGGCAATTGGAATGTTGTTGCTATGGAGATGTTTAACCAGTTTGACAGCACCTGAAAATATTTTCCGTAATGACAATATTCTACGATTTTCATCTATGCTGTCCCATGAAGTCGACTGAATAAATATCTTCAAAATATATTTCACTTCCGGTTTTCAAGACTTCAAATTTATCGAAAACAATGGTAGTTTGACTCTCAGCCTAATTTCTATTTTGTCAATATTGTAATTGATATCCACAAATTAATAGTTTATTTTGACCACATTTTCAAAATAAGGTTCATATCGGATGTCAGCGATACACGATGAAAAATTCTGTAAAGAGCTTCTAGATAGATTTTAAGGCTATTTTGTGTGTATGGGGCAATTAATGGCATCTATCAGTATCATTCCAATTTTCAGTCGGATGTTTTTTGTTCTTATAATTAAGGATTTTTAAAGGGTATATTACGTCACGATCGCAAACGCTGTAAATAACATAGAAATAACAGATAAATGCCTTTGCGATAGCTACGCTTAATATTGCTTAATTTCGATGGAATCCCAAGAACCACAGACATCTGTAACCAAGACAGACTGTAAATTGAAATGGTGTAAATCGATGCTATCAATATCTCTGATACACATACAAAGTTTAAAAAACATCTAAACGATCCCATTAAATAAATCACCTGGTAAAAATGGTACAGTAGGAAATAATTTAACATGTTCAGCACGTATCTTCTCGATGTATTCTTCAGGACTGACTGGTAACTGTAGTTCCTCTGAAAACATAAATATCATACTAATTTCTCAATGTAGAAATCTTATGAACATACACATTTTTCAATGAGGTCTTATGAATGCACATATTTTTCAATGTAGTCTCATGGGCATACACATTTTCAAAGCAGAGTTTTATGAGCATACACATTTTTTAATGCAGAGTCTTATGAGCAAACAGATTTTTCAATACAGAGTCTTATGAACATATGCCTACAAAGTTTTTAATGAAGTCTTATGAATACACATTTTTCAATGCAGAGTCTTATAAACATAAACATTTTCAATACAGAGTCTTATAAACATAAACATTTTCAATACAGAGTCTTTGGAACATGCACATTTTTCAATGCAGAGTCTTATGCCTACAAAGTTTTCAATGAAGTCTTATGAATACACACGTTTCTTCTAATGCAGAGACTTATTAATTTTTTTTTCCAATGCAGTCTCATGCACATACACAATTTATTATGACATGTAACAAAAACTACTGAACACATTCTACTACAAGTACTTATTATATCAGTGACTCTTTGGTGACTCAGTATAGACATGGTTTCTCTAGTGTCATACTGCATATTACAAGCTTGGTGGGCAGATATTTCAATGTTATAAACACTAACAAAGCACCAAAATACACTTTATTCCATCAAGAACAAACTATGAACATAATCAATCACATTTGTTGGAAAGTTTTTCATGATGTGCCTCACTGAAGAACTTTTTGATATTTTTTGACCCAGGACATAAAACCAGCATGTTTTATTAAGTATTCGTTAATACATAAACAGTTAAAATTAATTGAAAAACCGTGGCTAAATTATGTTAAAATATACCTATTTGGGAAGAAATTCATTTTTGGTAATATTTCCTAGAATCCTGTTGACAAGAGTCTCTTGATGATCCTGGGGCTATTAGACGACTTTGACGAAATACTTTTGGGTGAAATGATTGCAGACTGTTCGACTTAAACGGACAGATCCGGCATTTTTTTATACCAATCACATTTTAGTCTCAGAAACAGGAACTTTAATAGTGTTCACAGCTCACCGTAGAAATTTTCAGCCTTCAAATCCATATGTGTCCAGAATTTCTGCGATTGAATGTTAAAATGACGACTCGTCAATTTAAGGTGTGATATATAGAAAAATAAGGAGGTGGAGTGATTAATTTTACGCACTTTCAGAATGTTTAACTCGGGATACCGCTTGGCATATTTCCGATAAAAAAATATTACAAATCGACAATACCTAAATTGAACGGACATGTCACTGAATTATAACCCAAGGTTTTTATTCTTGATGAAAAGGTTACAAAAACCGTCAGGGCGTTGACACTGAAATGGTCCCCCGATCTGAATCGAGGGAGGCTTTTATTCCTAAATGTTGGGAAAGATTGTCAATATATTCATACATCAAAAAGCAGTCTGATTAAAAATAGACCGTTCTGTTCCGTTTAAAAGTAGCTTTTATTTTTCATACAGGCCTTATATTTCTGGTCTAAAAACACCCTTCTTGAACATTCGTCAGTTTGATTACACAGCTAACCGATCAAATTCCTGTCCTCTGGGAGTTTGTGACGCGAACTAAAGGTGCAATCAATGTTAACGTCTTCTTAGAGTACACATTTTGTTCGAGTCACAAAATCCCAGACTTATATAGAGGACAGGAATTTGATTGATTAGCATTGTCAAACTGACAAATGTACAAGAGGGGCGTCGTTAGACCTTAACTGAAGTAACTATATTATAAATAAAAGCATATCGAAAGTTTGGTCAAATTTGAATTAGGCCGCATCAAAAGGCTATTGCTGATATGTTATCTATAAGTTTGTGTTTATTGGAATTTGAACAAATCTTTCAAATACAATTAGATGAAGTAAAACCAGTAAACGGAGAGAAGGCAGAAAACCTCTTGTTAAGCATATCACAATTGAGAATGCCGTTCCTTGTGTAGACCATAAAGCTTTTGCAATTATTAACATCATAGCAATTTTGGCGACATTCTTCAACATTGGGTACCGTTTCCGTTCTTAAGTAGTAATTCATGTAACAATTCTCGTTCGCAGCGCTGTAAGATATATTCACTCAGTCAAGTACAGAACAGATTGACACCGTCCGTTTACAGCAGGCACGCTAGACTCCACCACTTTGACCAGCTTGATCCCAGTCTTGGCAATCTGTATAGAAATGAAATGAATGGAATAGAGTTTAACGTTCTACTTTTCTGCACCTGATTCTACTACTTGACCAATTCACATTAGAGCCGAAACAATTTTGTCATCTGGAAGCTTGAAACAGAATTTAAGTACGTTAATAATAAAATGACAAAAACCTTACCGGTACATGTTAGGTTGCCGACCCAGGCATCTTTGACACATTCATATCTTCCTGATCGAGTATCCCACATTGCACACGGCGTCCTTATGATTAGGATTGTCTTGTGTGCCTAGGGTAATATGTCCATTGGGTATATCCAACTCAGGACACGCCGCATTGCCTGAAAATATTGAATTCCAAATACTAGTCAAATGGTAGAAAAAAACTATATGATAAAATAGATATGTGAAGGATTTAATATATATTTTTATTTATAAAATGATAGAAGAGGCATTATTTGAGTTTTTCGAAAAAAACCTTCATATGAGACGGTTGAATTTGTTGACAGTTTTAATGATAATTTTTGTAGTGCAGAATTCGGCAATTTGATTGCACGCTAGAGTATACAGTCAATCACAACCTCAATAATAAGACTGTAAACATTATGACTACTCGGTAGGTACAATGCGATCAAATCGCTGCATTGAAAGCAAGGTATTAGCTTCGCAATGTGATGGTTCTCTGTACATCATTGCTTCTCAACCCACTTTCTCCGCCATTCACACTCAGCAATGTAAAACACAAATTGAACAAAAAACTAAAAAACTCTAAGGTATTGCTTCAAATTTAAATCTAAAGAGCACGGGCCATGGCTATACACAAAATGTGAGAAACTCTTTTTCTTTGTCGAAATACCTGCTACGGTGATAAATACAAACCCCTCAAATTTGGATAGTTTTTCGCCCCCGAAAATTTGGAATCCATCCCTGGGGTTGCATATGGACCCTAGTTGAGAAGCACTGATGTACACTAAACAATGTAATCGGACAAATGAATCAGTAAAATTATTAATACTCACCACTGTTTGCTAAGAATACCACAGCCAACAGGGAACATATTAACTTCATGTTGATTGAAAACATCGTAAGAAACTTGCAATGACGTATTGTAGGAGCTTATCATGCAGTAATGTTGGTAAATGACAAGCTTCCCTCTTTATACTTTATATGACTCATAGCTAATTAACATATCATTTTATTTGCATCACGGTTACAATTTTAATTAGATTTTTTCTTATGAAATAAAATACATCCATGACTGGTATGACGTTTTTACGTAACGTAAAATTTATACAGTTAGCTTTTTATGTTACTAAACATAGTCTTAAAGGGATTGTGAAGAGTTTTTCTAAAAAAAATTATGTGTATATGAGACAATTATAGCATCAATTTGTACCATTTGAATTTTTATAAGACGTCTGTAGTTCCTGCAATTCCATCGCGTGATAAAAAGCACATTTTGCAATTAGTGGCGTCATCAAACACTTATGCTGTATTTGTTACCTCTAGGAAATATGGAAATACGAATTCCTAGAGGGTAAATAGTGTTCGTTACTTAAAATTATGCTCAGAAGTCGTGTTTTCTACTGGCTAAAGTTACCGGGAGATCACAATTTATGACGTCATAATATGACTCATTTAATATAATTATTATGCAAATAAAGTATATTTACTCATTAGAGCGCATGCGTTTGCACTAATTTAAAATTATGTCCCGAATAGAATCAAGTGGTAATTACAGGGGAAAAGTCGGCATTTTCGGGGATTGATTTGGGTCTTCATTATGCTTTAATAGTCTTATGAAGTACTAAAACGAAAAAAAAAATCGCATAATTCGTTCAAATATAAATATTACAGTTTCTAAAACTAAGGTATGATTGGTCGAACGGATAATGAAGGTTCTCCTTTAAGTTCGGTTTGTAAAAATACCCGGCATTCGATTACATTGCTATACGTACTTTTATACGTGGAATTTCACTATGTATTTGTTATTAAAACGCAGGAAAAAAATTTATGAATATAATTTGAAGGTTTATGACTATGCAGAGTTGTTCTCGACAATTAGGGTAGTTTTTAGTTGGCAGAATAAGAGAAGAAACCATGTAGAACGTTGTGAAATATATTTGCGTGTATTTATGAATTTGATACACTGCATTCGTTATATTTATAAATAGGTAATATCCTTGCATAATTTCCTTATTTGAAACAGAATTGTTATTAGTCTACTTTCAAATATATCGGAAAGTTACTAGAATTTATTGTTCGAATTTATGAGCTAAAGTTTTGCACCAGGATTTCGAGATCGGTGAAAGTCATTATTTGTACCAATGTTGAAGAAAAGATACCATTGTTTAGTTCAACAAAGGTACATATTCACAATGTCAAGGTAATAGGAACTTTGTACTTATACCTTGACTGCAATAACCACTATTTTGTATCAAGCAATCAGCAATTTGATTGGATTGTACGCCACCGAATACAGCCAATCCATGCTTTATGTTCACATACTTTCTGTCGAGGTCTCTGATTGGCTGTATCTGCTACCCTACAATCCAATCAGATCACTTCATTTACAAACTTCCAGGATACAAGAAAGGTGACTATTGCAGTAATAAGTACGAAGATCGTAAGCTTGACATTGTTAAGATTCATTTTTAGAGCTTGGGTTATAAAAGTTGTAATCTTCACTATCCAGACTGAAACCTTCAGATATAATAGTAAAAAGTCTTTCATTTCAATGAGTTTCGTTTTCACAATATTTTGTGGTTACTTATTCCACGTCAAAGCAAATAAATGAATTAAAGAAAACTCTCAACTCTGCAAATATTGAAACAAGCTAGTTATTTATCATCGATAGTCTGAATAGGTCATAGACATCAAATAACTCAACCAGAAAAAGGTTTGGAATAACTATGGTCATAATTGTACCAATTACAACCCGATATACGTAGGCCTACGTTATTGTGGGTGTTAAAATTATAAACTGAAAAGACATCAAAATATTGACTAATGCAGAAATAACATATAAATAATATACAGGCCCGTAGCTGTTATACGTAGTTTACGTAAACTTTTTAAATAGTTTTGGCGTTAATCAATTAACGGCTGGATTTTTCTAAGTAAAACTTACAGATACGCTAATGTAAACGTTTCTCTATAGATTTTAGAGTAGGCCTATAGTTTTTTATTTATTGGAGCAATAATATTTTTCGACCAACAAAACAATAAAAATAAACCCAAAACAGAACGCCCCTTTAAATGAGAATAATTCATAATAATGCTTATCTGATTACCAATGATAATCTTGACCGATTCCAATTCTTTTTTTCCCATTTGTTTTTCTTTCAGTTCCCATGTAAATTCTTTACCATACTGCGAACATACTGTATTGGTTGCCACTGTATACAGTCGTTCAGTATCTGAAAAAAGTAAGATTATTTCTTTCTATCGTGGAGTTTTAACATTTCATGATCTTCAGATGGAGACCTTAAAGATGGGTTCATTATTTTCATTTATGAAAATGAAAATGCTAATACTTATATGAATAGAAAGTACAGGTGTTTTAATGACTTGGAAAAATATCAGTTTGTCTCACATGTCCACAATTAATTAGCTCAATTAGAAGAGAATTACCAGCAGAATTCCAATGAGTGACCGATCAAGAAAGGTCAAAAATTCTTTTTTGTTTATCCAGTCTTTTCATACATGGACATTTACGATTGGTTAAAACTCTCAATTATGTGCAATAAGAACATAATGATATAATTAAGAATGTATGATTATTCATTAGAAACACCAATTAATCAACTAGTTTGCTTAATTTGACACTGAAAAATAAGGAAACCCACATAAAAATCACATAAAGAAAAAATATAGCGGTATAGACGTAAATCAGAATTATGTTTTTTTTTAACTTTGAAAATAAACAGGGCCATGAGTCGATACTGTCAGAACTTCTACTTAGAACCTTCTGAGTGTTTATTGGGATAATATGTTTGTCATTCTCGGGTGTTGATTCGGGTCTTGAATATGTAAATAGTCTTCGTAAGTGCTCAAATGTAGCCTACTAATATAGCTGAATACCATACAAAATATGACAAACTAGGCGTTTAATCTTATTTTTATACGCCCACACGTAAGATGGGCGTATATTGTGATCACCCCGTCGGTCCGTCCGTCGGTCCGTCCGTCCGTCCGTCCGTTCACATTTGGCTCGTGCTCACTCTACAGGCTACAGTACTTTATGGATTCTTTTGATTTTTATTTTGTATGTCAATGTTGTTATGAAGATGATCCCTATTGATTTTCGTGATGATCGGATAATTTTTCACCGAAATATCCTGTCTGACTTGACGTTTTTTCTATTAGCTATATTGTGCAACTCGTGCTCACTCTACAGGGTACAATTTTTTACAGATTCTTTTGATTTTTATTTTGTGTGTCAATGTCATTATGAAGATGATCCCTATTGATTTTTGTGATGATCGGATAATTTTTCACCGAAATATCGTGTCTGACTTGACGTTTTTCTCTATTAGCTATATTGTGCAACTCGTGCTCACTCTACAGGCTACAATTTTTTACAGATTCTTTTGATTTTTATTTTGTGTGTCAATGTCATTATGAAGATGATCCCTATTGATTTTCGTGATGATCGGATAATTTTTCACCGAAATATCGTGTCTGACATGACGTTTTACTCTATTAGCTATATTGTGCAACTCGTGCTCACTCTACAGGCTACAGTTCTTTACGGATTCTTTTGATTTTTATTTAGTGTGCCAATGTTATTATGAAGATGATCCCTACTGATTTTCGTGATGATCGGATAATTTTTCAGGGAAATATCCTGTCTGACTTGACGTTTACTCTATTAGCTATATTGTGCAACTCGTGCTCACTCTACAGGCTACAGTTCTTTACGGATTCTTTTGATTTTTATTTTGTGTGCCAATGTTATTATGAAGATGATCCCTATTGATTTTCGTGATGATCGGATAATTTTTCACGGAAATATCCTGTCTGACTTGACGTTTTACTCTATTGGCTATATTGTGCAATTCGTGCTCACTCTACAAGCTACACTTTTTTACAGATTCTTTTGATTTTAATTTTGTGTGTCAATGTCATTATGAAGATGATCCGTATCGATTTTTGTGATGATCGGATAATTTTTCACCAAAATATCCTGTCTGACTTGACGTTTTACTCTATTAGCTATATTGTGCAACTCGTGCTCACTCTACAGGCTACAGTTCTTTACGGATTCTTTTGATTTTTATTTAGTGTGCCAATGTTATTATGAAGATGATCCCTACTGATTTTCGTGATGATCGGATAATTTTTCAGGGAAATATCCTGTCTGACTTGACGTTTACTCTATTAGCTATATTGTGCAACTCGTGCTCACTCTACAGGCTACAGTTCTTTACGGATTCTTTTGATTTTTATTTTGTGTGCCAATGTTATTATGAAGATGATCCCTATTGATTTTCGTGATGATCGGATAATTTTTCACGGAAATATCCTGTCTGACTTGACGTTTTACTCTATTGGCTATATTGTGCAATTCGTGCTCACTCTACAGGCTACAATTTTTTACAGATTCTTTTGATTTTTATTTTGTGTGTCAATGTCATTATGAAGATGGTAAATATATCGAATTTCATAATACTTACGATCAAAGCTATCTGTGGGCGTATGTTACCTTGCCTGGCAAGCTATATTCTATATTTTTTTTTTCAGAAATTCAGAAATACCACCTTTTTTAATCTTTAAACGCGTGTTAAGTTTTTAATTATTTTATTACGTTTCTATTGTTTTCGTTACGCATCATTGCTGCACGTAAAGTGATGACGTAGGACGCTTTTCTGGACATGCGCTTTCCTTGAGGCTTACGGTGGCTCTGTTGATTCCCTTTTTTGTTTATGACTTGTTTATGGAACCCTGGTAGTAGACAACTTGGTGTAAACTGTTTTTATCTATAATATTGTAATTGCGGCAGTAATATTCATTAGGCTCATGTGTAGAATTTTAATGTTAGGCTTTAAATTGTCCCTGTCAAAATTTTCCGATTTGGTGTCTCGGTTTTGCATATCACCGACCTAAGTATTTTCTATATAATGTTTATTGTGGGCATTTACAGATATTGTCATAGGTTGTGCATTTTGTGTATCATTCTGTTATTATTTACGGATAGTGTTATGTGTCATTTTCAATTGTATTTTCGCGCTGAAGGTTTTTATTTCGACTATAAAGCTCAACTGTCATAGGCCTAGTGCCTAATGGAATATTCCATTTTCTGTTATAAGTGGACTCGCCCACATTCTTATTGTTTAAAGATACAGTAGTACCATGATATTTTACTATTTTGGTTATAATTTATCGATATAAATGAATCTTATTGAGGGTGAGACGCATAAGCAAACATCTACAACGCGTCTTTGACTCGAATAAATTTATGTAGTGCAACACCTCTAAAACTATGGTCAATGGAAAATGGTGTAAATTTGTTTTATATATTATTATTTTATTCATATATTTTTAATAAAATAATAAAAAGAGAATCTAGTATAAAGAAGGTTAACTGCAAGAGTTAATAGAGGTCGTCGATCCTTTCCTAGTTATTTGTTGTCTGTCGCCACCGTACATAGAAACGGAAATATTTCATCACATCATGTCGATGTAAGACGTTCATTTTATAAAAAATTATACTCATATTATATAAGAAATCGTAAGATATTCTAAGATTATGTTTATGAAGGTTTTCAATTATTAATCAAGATAGCTTACCAATAAGTAATCCATCCATGTCGAATATAACATGTGACACTGGTTTTGGGGCCGCCATTTTGGAATCACGGTTACCTCCCATGAAATGTTATAGATAAAGACTGGTGCAATAAAAAGTCAAATAATGTCATTCATTTTTATACGCCCACATCTCTCTATGTGGACGTATATTGTCGGCACCCCTGTCCGTCCGTTTGTCTGTCCGTCAACATTTGCTTGTAAACGCTCTAAAAACTAGGTTTTTTTTGATGGAATCAAATGAAATTCGGTATGTGTATACATATTCATAAAACGAAGATCGAGTTCGAATTTGATCTATTTTCGACCGTTAAAAGCAAAGTTATTGCTCTTGCCCCAAAACCTTGAATAATATGCTATTACTCTCTTAGTTTTCAACCAATTTTGATGAAACTTAAAATGGGTGTTACTGGACCTAAATCGAAAGGTTTGAGAAAGTTTAGTTTACTTCTGATTAAATTCAAGGCTTTTTCAAGATTTAGGCCTCTTACGTCAGTTTTGAGGAGTTATCGCCCTTTAACCTCTACAGTAAGTGCTTCTATCAACATCAATTGCTTGTAAACGCTCTAAAAACTAGATTTTTTGATGGAATCAAATGAAATTCGGTATGTTTATACGTATTCATAAAACGAAGATCAAGTTCGAATTTGAGCTATTTTCGACAGTTAGAAGCAGAGTTACTGCCCTTGCCTCATAATCTTGAATATTTATGCTATTACTCTCTTAGTTTTCAACCGATTTTGATGAAACTTAAAATGGATGTTATTGGACCTAAATCGAAAGGTTTGAGAAAGTTTAGTTTACTTCTGATTAAATTTAAGGCTTTTTCAATATTTATGCCTCTTACGTCAGTTTTGAGGAGTTATCGCCCTTTAACCTCTACAGTAAGTGCTTCTATCAACATCAATTGCTTGTAAACGCTCTAAAAACTAGATTTTTTGATGGAATCAAATGAAATTCGGTATGTTTATACGTATTCATAAAACGAAGATCAAGTTCAAATTGGAGCTATTTTCTACCGTTAGAAGCAGAGTTATGGCTTTTGCCCCAAAATCTTGAATATGCTATTACTCTCTTAGTTTTCAATCGATTTTGATGAAACTTAAAATGGATGTTTCGTTTTTACCATCCGCATGCCGTGAAGGGCGTATATGGCTGTGGCCCACTATCGTATATTATGTCACAGGTCACCAAATCATCGCGTTTAACTATCTAACAAATTGTGATATGACAACAGTAAGGAAACGTTATTCTTTGATGTAGTAATTCCAATCACAGCTCTATTACTTATTCTTCATTCCTGAGGCGATTAAAACTTTCACCATAAACTCCTTGAATTATAAAGGGCTTGAACATGAGAGTTACCATATAGGCCTACTCTTTGAACATAACAGTCACCATAAGCTCCTTGGACATGATTATCACCTTAAACTCCTTGACATGTCACCATGAACTCTGTGATATTCCTTGAACATGACAGTTACCATATATTCTCTGAACATAACAGTCACTATAAACTGCTTGAACATGATTATCACCATAAACTCCTTGAACATGATAGTCACCATAAACTCCGTAAACATGACTGTCACCATAAACTCCATAAACCTGACTCGTTGATATGACAGTCGCGATTAACTAACGATACCGTCATAAACTCCTTGAACACGATAGTCACCATAAAGTTTTTGAAAATGGCAGTCACCTGATCATAAACTATCCATAAAACCTTAATGAGAAAAGAAATTAACCACAAAATGAAAATAGGAAAATAAATTAACCACATAATATAGAAATAGGAA